CGAACTAGTTCTGCTTTTGTACTCATGACATGTTTTCAGAGCAAATTCGTGCTAATCGGGCATTTTTGCAAAGAAGTCTTGATTTTCAAATTTTTATATTCGGCATTCCGCTTTCAATCCAAAAAAATCCGGTACTTATGATACAAAAATTCTGATGTATTTTTCGAAAAGTGAATGATGTACTTTGAAAAGATTACCTTAATTTTTTTGAAACAAATTTCTCAATTCATCGGTGCAAGACTTATCAGCGTAACACTTCCTGAGCTTTACGTCAAGTTCACTTTCCTGAAATACTAAAGTTTATCATATTAAGCTCCAACTCCTTTTTTTTCAGAAAATGTCCACAAAAGAATATTTCGTCCCATCCGAAGAGGTTATGACCTCCATAGTCCTCCCAACTATAGTTTTTTGTATCGGAATGGTCGTCGCTATGCTTGTCGGTATCAACAAATGCAAACAATGGGAACTCGACAAAATCGTAGAAATGCGGCGAACACGACGAGTTGTGCAACGAATAACAGCTCGATTGAGAGAAAAGAACTTCAAGACAATACAAAGTATGGTCATAGATTTTATTGATTGAATGATGGTCAGGAAATGTTGCTTACAGATGCGCGCAACATGCGGAAACGAGCAGCGGCTGCGAAAGCGGCAGCCGAGAAAAAACTGAAGACAGAGGTGGCACCACCGGTATATTCATCACAACAGCAGGCTGTGTGAGTTGTTTTTGTTATGATTTTCAAAATCAAATTTGAAATTTTACATTTTTTGATTTGTTCACTTATAACAAACAATATTCTGTTTTCTAATTTCTCCCGGCCACCCCAGGCAGGTAACCAGTTGTAGCTTTAATCATTTCTAACTCAATGCGTGAGCCTGCACACTACGCGCGGCAACCGACGACATCGTCTCTAGCAACTCCTCTATCAAACCTTTTCTAGTTTAAAAAAACTATAGTATGTGTACTACTAATTAAAGCACATCTAAGCAAATCAGTACAATCAAGGAAACAGCGAAAAATTGCTGGGAATGGACGTTTTTTGACCTTAAAAACCTAAAAGTTGTCAAATAGCGCGCATGGTATGCAATGCTTGATCGAGCCTCAAATCACTGCGATAGACATAAGTAGAAGTTGGTTTTCTGGCTGCACAAAATCTTTTTTTTTACAAAAATAACAAGACTTTGGATGCCAAATTAAAACTTCTAATTTGTAAGAAGTAGTCATATTTTTAATCATAGTCTGCTTTCTCTGTTACGAACCAATATTGGTTTTTTATTATACATTTCGCTGAAACTGCAATGGCAACGCTCACTGAGCTGCTGCGGTCTGCGCCTCTTCTTGCCACGTTATCTCTCTACCCTGAGCGTCGACCTAGAACCGCAGTGCCGCAACGCTTGGGCGTACGCATTGTCTGCGTCAGTGACTCGGCTATGAAATACTCAAAAAATTTAGTTATTTCACTACGTGACTTCAAACTATTATTCTTGATATTTGAGAATGTTTATTTGTTCAGTTGTGGAACATCACCTCCGCCTTCCTACGAAGACGCTTTACTAGACGAATATTACTATGAGTGCCTACCATCTTCTAGCAGGTACCTCTGAATTTTGCCCTTCAAAAATTCAATTTTGATTTAATCTAATCAATATTAGGACCGTGCATCCACCAACAACTAGTAGAAGACGCTCTTCAACACAATCTCACGCATCTCGTCGAACTGTCCGTTCCACACGAAGAACGTCAAGGGCCAACAACCGTGGAATTTTGGATGTTTGAGGAGAGGGTGGATCCAATCTTAGGTGTTTATTCACTTGATTTATTTATGAATCAAATATATAGTTGCTTCGTAAAATTTGGCATTCTGGATCAGTTTCAGACAATTTTGCGATCTTCTACATTTTTCTTTTTTTTGCTTTCATTGATAATTGGTGGTTTTCTGCACTCAAGCACTTTAGTCATGGTTTGGACCTATGTGGTTGCCGTAGCAAATGATTTTTTATGATATAAAACATGATGGTCCCATAAGGACGGGGCGATAGTCGCTTTCAACCAATCAACGTTCCGTTCCATCGCGTCTGTCATTGGCTGTTTCCGTGCTATGTACAGTTATAGGGACCTAGTATTTCATGTGATAATGTGATCTCAATAATTTTTCAATTTTTTAGCCTTTGATTGTTTGAGCACTATTGAATAAAGCTGAATAGCCTTAAATCTCACATAATTTATTTACATATGTATTTGAATATTCAATAAATTCCAGGTAGTATCCGAAACGGCACTTTATTACAGTGTTGTATCCATGATTGGCCATATTTTGCCAAACACCGCGTCTCATCATTCATTAGTCGAACAAATAAAAATACTGAAAATAAGAGACTAGACAAATAAAAATTGCCAGAAATAGCTGAACTTACCTGCGATGAAAACGGCCGGTAGATGGCAGGCAAGCGTTGCAGGACCTTGAAATGCTGAGAATACGGCAAACGTGGCAGCTTCACAAATATAGTTTGGATGTCGACTTATCGACCAGTAACCGCTTCCTATAGGAAATTCATTTTGAAGGACATTTTTCTTCGAAAATATTTTAAAGATTTTGTGATGTTTGTTTCGAAGTGCTAAAAAGTTTCAGCAGTGTTGTATAGCGTTCGAAAACGGTTGACCGGCTGCGCACTTAATCACAGGCGTTTGTCATTTCGCGTCGCGTAAGCAAAATGTAATCACGCCTTCGCGAGTGGGCTTCAGTAAAGGACGTTTATTTTCTACTTCATCCTAAATCGAAACCAGCACATTACAGTTTTCTGGCCAACATTTCCGGATTTTGTCAGTACCCATCCAGTAGTCTGTAAATTTGGCCTACGCTACACCAAATGCCAAATGCTCGTTGTTTAGTGAACCGCTTCTGAGCCTTTATCTGATTATAGGTATCACCTCAGTTTTGTTTTTCGGTCCGATAAATCATTTTTGCAATTTTATCAACTAGAACCTTTTTTCGTGATGACTGTTTTTTCAATTCAATGCTCAGACAGAGCAAAAGCGTTATTAACTTCACAATTTTTTGAGAGCTCAAACCCCGTCCCATTCCCACACTTTTTACTAGTAAACGATCCCTGTCACATTATAATAATGTGACAGGGCCATTCATTTACACAGTAAAGTCACTTGTGTGAAAATATGAGATTTGTATAAAACAGCTGTGAAAGTGTAAAATGATGTATGTACTAAAGAAATGTCGCCTTGTGCACATTAAGTTTATGGCATTTCCTTGCTCATTTTTTCGCCTTAAAATTAAGGTTATAGAGTCTGGGAAAGCTTACAAAAGTGAAAAATAAGTCGCTTTCAAAGATTGTTCGTCGGAAATTATGATGGGCACATTTCACATCGCAACCGAACCTCTTCAGCAGTGACAGACACAAACATCTTTTTTTGGAGGAGAGGGAAAAGAGGGGGAGGGGGAATCAGAGGTCTTTTCCAAATGCAGGGAGCAGACTTAGCTGTAAAATTATCTTTCTTTGGGGAAGCAAAAAAGATGGGGTTCGGAGGAAACCAGGGTTTCCTAAATGATAGGCTCGGCCTTAGCTACCCGTAGAAATAATTTTAGAAAGTGTATCAATTTTGTTTGCAAGCTTATAATACCAAAATTTTTGTGAAATTAAGTAGTGTGGAAAGTTACGCCTTTAAAAATTGACCCCTTCTACGTCCGCCATTGCTTCCCAGAAGGCATTCTCCGAGTTTTTTTTTGTAATAAAATTAATTTTTCACCCATACTCACCCAATAATAAATTCGCGGCTGTGTCACCATTGTCGTTCTTGTATTTAGCAGTAATAAAAAATGGATCCACTCCATTAATTTTGATCACACCCTTAGATCTTCTAAAAAATTGTTTTTGAAATAAAAAAAATTGGCAAAGAACCAGATATCACCTGAATTCATATTTTTGATGGTCAATAATGGTAGTCATAACAATTAGAGTTACTGCTGCTATTGAAAGAAAACCACTAGTTATGATAGAAATAGATCTTTGGGTTTGAGCTATGATAGCTATTGGTGAACAGTAGAGAATGGGAAATAGCACCTGAATACAAAAGTTTTTTT